AAAAAAAAAAAAAAAGTATATAAGGCTTTTTTATGAATTTTTTGCTTGAGGGGCCAAAAGGTAAATTAATGACCATGACCATCATGATGTAAAAGTGGTTACTAGCGTCATTCTTGTTTCATAAAAGAAGAAAAAAATAAGTGACAGTTATTTCATTCTCTTACAATGTGACATCCCCCACTCTTCATAAACAAAAACTGAAACATAAGCTAGAACATACGAAATAGTAGATAACTATGCAAAAATTGTAACTACTGTTTTCAAATACAGACCAAATTCTTAAGTATTTTAAAATGCTATAGAGACAACCAGAAAAAAATCTAAAACTTACTTTTTTAATAGTGCTCAGTATAAGAACTATTACATCAGACTGAGAGAAACAGTATGTCTTTATCTAATACAAATCATCATCTTCATCCTACCAGAACCATAGGCGTCTTCCAGCTGCTGTGAATCCTCAGAGTTAAAAGGAATCCATGTCTCCTTAGAATCTATTATTTTACAATAGAACCAATGAGGAGAAACTGGTTCATACAAACTGCCAGCATCCATGTCTAGTAGCTCAAAGGAACTACATGAGTTTGGTGATGGGGATGGATCTGACTGGGACAATTGTTCCTGGTGTGACCCCACAGATGACATTTCGCTCTCTAAAAGACAAGATGAAAGAAAACTATCGGGAAAAAGTTATTTTCCTTCTATTAACGCTGAAATTGCTCTCTCTCACACACATACCTGGTCATTTTTAAGGAACCACTTCTAAAAAAAATCTAAATCTAAACTGAAAATAGAAATAAGTTCTAAATTAAGAGCTGGATTTGAGAGGGAGCTTTAAACACAATGTTTCTTATAGTCAGACCAACCACTTTACACTGATCTCCCAATCCTCTCAGAAAACTACATGGTTTTAATCAGACAATAAATTAGAAGACAAACCCAGAATCAGAAGAAAACACACGGTCAAAAACTTGACGGCAACAAAGCATCTGATCCCAATTTCAATCTAAGTCTATTGATAAAGACAAAAAATTAACTCCAACTGTCTTAGTAACTCCTGGATTTTAGGGCTCCAGACCCCTATCATTATACATTGACATGATTACCGGAATCTTAAAATACTGAAAATGAAACTATTCACTTAAGAACCTGTTACCTTTTATTGATCTTGGAAATGTGCTTAATCGGGGACTAGAGCACAAATTCCGAAAACACGAACCCCCGTTTGGGCCACTGTGCGCAAGAGCGCACCCACTCACACCTGCCAAGGCTCAGGTGAAAAGTAACAAGCGACCTCGAAAGCCTCCTTCCCTCAGAGGCGACTCTGGCCTACGTGGTCCTACCCCGTCAACACTCAGCCCACTCGTTAAAGAACAGCACACATCAAAGAGCACTCAAGCTCTGCGGAGAGTGAGCAACGTTATTGGTCTCTCGGCACCGAGCGCAGCGGGATGGCAAACACCCGGCTTCGCTCAGAGCGAACGCTCTCGAGGCTATCGGCCACTTTGATCTTTTTTTCCTAGCGCCAACTTACCTCGGCCACCTTGGCGTGTCCCTTCTCCCCACGACCCTGGGCCTTCTGCAGCCCGGATCTGGGACCTCAGAGCTCGGGGACTTGCCTCCTCCCGCTTCCAGCCCTGCAGAGAGGAGCGGAACCACCAATAGAAACAAGGTAATTTCCCAGTGCCTCACAGGGCGCAGTCGATACAAAGGGGGCCCTGACCGCTTCCCTAAGGACCGGGGTCACCCACCCCTGGGCTGGTACTCCCAACACCCCCTTTCCCTGCCTCAGGCATCGCGTCCGACTCCGCCCCCGGCATCTCCATCCCGCAGTGCCTCCAACCCGCACCCTAGTGGGGCCTCCCTCAGCCCAGCGCCCACCCCAGCAAGCCGTCGCGGGCTCACCTGGCTGCCCCGCTGCCTTTCACACTCTCCTGTCCTCGCTGAGGGGGGCACATGTCCCCGCGGCGGCCTTTCCCCTGAGCCCGGGCGAGGCGGGGCGGAGCAGGGCGGAGCCTGCGGCCCCGCCAGGCTCGTGCCCAACACCGGTCTCCACTGCGCTCCCAGCGGGTGAGCGGCAAGCCAAGCTACTAAGAGCAAAGGTGAGGTGGCCGGGACCGCGGCGTGGAAGCGATGGGTGGGGCGAGGAAGGCAGCAGGAGACTGGCAGGAAGTGTCGCGAGAAGTAGAAGGAATCGCGCGAGATGTGGCTCCTTCCTGCGGGCAGGGAGCCGGAGCGCCGAGCGCACGGGCGGTGCGTGGGGCGTGCCTTGCCCTCTGAGCCAGCGCGCGGAGTCTCTGGCTGAGGTCGGAAGTCTTTGAAAGGCAGGGTTGGAGGATGACAGGTTAAGGGAGCATTTTGAGTTTCAGGGAAAGACAAAGCTTCTTCGGGATTAATCAGCCCATCCTCCTCACTTGGTAGATTAAATGGGAAAAGAGGCCCGCTGACCCCGGTACTATGTCGGACCGCACTAAAGGGCCGGGAATGGTGCCGGGAACCCGAGGGAGACGCAATAGAACGATAGGGCGCTGGCAGCGGCATCGTCCACCCAGACTCCTTGGGTGCACAGGAGAATGGATACCATTGGCATTTGCAAAGAAAAAAGGGTTATCTCTGGGGCTTTCCCCCTCCTCGTTCTGTTTTATTAGGATTTCAAGGCTGCCAAAAAAGATGTCTAAAAAATGCAGAGGTGAGCTTCACCGGATTTAAAAGCTGCACGAGAGGTTGGAAACGAGATATTTTTGTCAAAACAAGATGACATAATTGAGGTGAAAAGTTTAAACGAATTTCCCACAGTCATGAAGCTAATGGCCCTGCCCTGCTCTCCTGAGTATTTAGTTTTATGGAAGACGCGGCTCCTTTGGGTGTTCTGTAAGATACTTGCCTGTTTTCTATCTAGATTATAGGGCAAGGGTTCAGGGAATGTTTTTTAGTTTTTTTCTTCAGAACCGAGAAAAAAACTTACAACACTTTAATTCTCTTACAGGTCAATAGCCACACACAGATATCCACAAGTTTATTTATACCTTCTCAAATTTGTAACACCTAAATAGCTTCTGCTCTGCAGGAAGAGGGTGAGGAATGCCAGAACTGTCCCATTCTCCAGGATCTTGTCAGATGATTAGCTAATATCATAGACTAATAGCTGGCATTTGCTAATCTCTTACTACATTCTAGGTAGACTTGTAAGCATCTTACAGGTGTAATCCCATTTAGTCCTCCTGGCAACTTGATGAAGTACAGACTATGGTTATCCCTATTTGCAGAGATAAAATGACTTACCCAAAGTCATACTACCAGAAAGTGATGGAGTCAAAATTATAAACACAGTATCTATCTTCAGAGTCTCCACCTAAGTAACTTACCTAAAATCAGTCAGTTAAGTGACAAAACTAGAACTTGAATTTAGATCATCTCTAAATCTCCATATCCTCTATACGAGCTGTTCACAATTTTGTTTTGGTCTCAAGAACTCTGCCCTGTAATTATTGAGAACCCTATAGGGTATTGTTTATGTAAGTTATATATATCACTGTTTACTGTACTAGAAATTAAAACAAATTTAAATATTTACTAATTCATTTAAAATAACATTAAAAGCCCATTTTATTTGTAAATTTTTTTATGGAAAAATAACTAGTTTCCAAAGTGAAAGAAAAATCAGAGAAAAGAATGACATTGCTTTACAGTTTTGTAAATTTCTTTAATGTCTAGTTTAATAGAAAACTGTTGGATTCTCATATTTGTTTCTGCATTCAAACTTACAACTTTAGTTTTGGTTGATGTTTGTGAAGAAAACCCAGCCTCCCGCAACTATGCTGTAGCTGGAGAAGGAGGAAGTATTTTAATAGCCTCTTCAGATAATTGTGGCTATTCTTTTTAATGCTACACTAAAATTCAACAAGTGGTGGCTTTTTAAAGGTTAGTTGCAATATGGAATCTGAAAACATATCAGTGAATTTTTTATACTCTGATACATTAAAATCCATTGGTCAGTTTTGCAGTTTGAGTGGATTTTTTACCTATACGTGATTTATGAGATCAACCATTGGTCATTTGGAAAATATCAATTCACTGTGCTGTGCAGTCTTTCAAATATTAACACATTTCATAATACAATATATATGTATATTTTTTCTTTTTAATTACCATCAATCTCAGAAGAGTCTGTAAATATTGGGAAGCTGTCAAGCTCTTAGCAAATACAAGTTCTCTAAATTCTGCTTTTTTTCTTGAAAGGCCTTTATCACAGGCAAGAACTACTGTCAGTTGTTTTCCTTGAAGTGACCAGCTCACTTTGTTGTCAAGAAAAGCTCTGTCAAATAGCTAAATCTGACTAGTCCTAGTTTCTCTGTTATACTTTTAAATAAAAATGTTGCTCCATGAAAAAAAGTAGCTAGTTCAGTTACCAATTCAAATAATCTTTCTTTTTCCTCAAGAGACCAGCATACTTTAGTATACAGAACTGTTTTATGCATACTATTTTGTCACATAGAATCTGAAAAAGGTGTGAATGCAAGGGTTAGGATTTAATAAAATTAATAATTTGTACTTTGTGAACAGTATTTTTTTTAATTTTTTTTTAACATTTTATTTATTTTTGGGACAGAGAGACAGAGCATGAATGGGGGAGGGGCAGAGAGAGAGGGAGACACAGAATCGGAAGCAGACTGCAGGCTCTGAGCCATCAGCCCAGAGCCTGATGCGGGGCTCGAACTCACGGACCGCGAGATCGTGACCTGAGCTGAAGTCGGACGCTTAACTGACTGAGCCACCCAGGCGCCCCGTGAACAGTATTTTTAAGTGAAATTTTCACTTTTTATTATGGATGCATGGCAGTGCACAATACAATGAATGACTACAATTTGTTTTTGTTAGGGTCAGGCGTAAGGCAGGGTAAAGATAGGAGTCAGAGGCTAAAAAATTTTAGCAGTCAAAGGCTTTATTTGGGAACTAAGGTCTCCGGCGAGGTTCTGTGACTCAGGGAGAGAGAGAGAGAGGAGTCAGGGAAGTCGCCCCCAGGTGTGGAGGGGTGGGGTTTTTGAGCTGCAGCGGTTCCGGGTTTAGGTCCGGGTGGGCCTTTTTCGCGTCAGGTCGTGCTGTCGCTCGGTGATTGGTTGACCTCCAATTCGTACTGGCACGCTACTAGGGGCTTTTCCTTGGGTTGCACTGGCAAGATGGCCGTCCCTTCTGTGGTTCCAAGGACATCCTAACAGTTTTCACAATTCCTGCTAAGGCGCAAGCAGTTTTACCCACCATTGCTTTTGCATCAACAGTGCAAATGTCAAAAACATAGCAATGGGGCCCCTGGATGGCTCAGTTGGTGACGCGTCTGACTTTGGCTCAGGTCATGATCTCGCAGTTCACAAGTTACAGCCCTACATTGGGCTCTGTGCTGACAGCTCAGAGCTTGGAGCCTGCTTCAGATTCTATGTCTCCCTCTCTCTCTGCCCCTCCCTGGCTCATACTCTGTCTCTCAAAATAAATAAAACATTAAATTAAAAAAAAAAAAAAAACAGCGAAAAAAGCAAATTATGTCTTAGTATTAATAGTTTTGTTGTTTTAAATAGGCTCCATGCGTAGTCCAGAGCCCAACACGGGGCTTGAACACATGACCCTGAGATCAAGTCCTGAGCTGAGATCAA